TCAGTTTGCGTACGAGTTGATCGTTGCAAAAAATCGTTCGAGATAGACCCAGTGCATCCGCTGTCTCAGAAGCCATCAATTCAACAATGCGATGTTTCATTTTTTCAGAGTTACAGCCAATTTTTTTTCGCCGTTCACTGGAACTCCATTCACATTGCAATAAGTCATTGCTCATGAGCATTTATCTGAACTGAATTTGATGCATTCAAAAATATGCGTCTTTCTTATGCAGAAATTTTAAATTTGGAATTATGAACTGTTGATTTGTTCTGGATTCACATTGAACTAATGAATCACTTATCATAGCTAATGAAGTGAGAAAAGTAGAAGTAAGGAAAGCTGATCAAACGTGTCCATGAAGCTGTAGTACACTGCAGCTGGAGCTGACTTCAGCTGAACACACGTAAACCGCAACAATGTTCAAACCTGAGTATAAACTGTGGGCCAGGTTCGGGCTCAGTCTTAACTGAATTGTATTCGGCTTCAACATGCTCCGATTGAAGTGTGGAAGTGACGTTCATTCAGTTGGTTTCAGATCAAAATGGGAGAATGTTGAAATGGCTGATTGAAATCAAGACTGAGTGCAAAGTGGATACTACCGTAATTTGTGGGCGTCGCTAGTTACCGTAGTTAAGCGGAACCAGAGATACTACCCCCGTAAAATGATTTTACCAACCTAATCAACATCAACAATCACAGCTACTTTGTACACTATAACTAACACATTCTATTGAATTTAACTCATACTTGATCATCCAACCCCGTGGAATTACTTTTCAATACCGTTCAATATCTAGAATTAACAGTCATTTGTCTGACCTTTTATCATCTGCCCGATTGAATTGTTCAGTCATCAACTTATTGCTTACACCTTACATCGTTGCATGCTGTACATTTATATTGCTGTGAATTCATAGCTTGTGGACGACTGCGAACATTTCTTGCTGTGTTCTAACTGCAATACACATTCAACTGCGAATATGAACGAACGAAATGCCGTTTTAACGAAATTTTTCAAACCCTGCAAAATAAGCCTAATTGTTTCCGAAAATTAGTGTGAAATTATCTTTAAAAAATTTTCGAATCGGTCATTATTGTCGTCTCATGTGTGTGGCTTCATCTGTCCTTCGGTTTTTTTGCAAGTGTTGCCGATACCCAATATTATATTATGCCATTGAAAGTTTTTAAATTTTTTTAAAATTTTTAAAGTTTTGCGGTTTTCAAATCGATTCAGAACGCTGGACACGACTCATAAGGTTAATAATCACGGTATACTGGACATAAAGGCTGTTTTTTTAAATACGACAGGCGTTCTGTAGATAATATACTGAGACATCGGTTCGAAACCGTATAGATTTGAAGAATTCGTTTATTGAATATACATATATGTGTAAAGGAAGAAGAACGACGGTTATTTTGTTCAGCAGAAAAAACGCTAAATAATGTCCCAGTTCTACCAAAACCTCAACCTTCGTGATACCAAACTTAAAAAAATATTCATCCGTCAACTTTCCTCATTTCTCGTAAACTTTTTTCCCGAAAATGTGTTAATCATTTTCCGACGCGATTGCGCTGTTTCGAGTTTTGTTTCCTCCTTGAAAAGATGATCGAAATTGAGTTTGCTACTGTTTTATTAGTATATTTAAGGTAGCGTGGTTTGCATCGTACTCTAAACAGCACTAATTCGAATTGCGTGCAGTGCACCTATGAACTTATCAGCTAACTTATTAGTGTGAAAATTTGATCACGGTTGTTGTTTCATTGCTATTGTTTCCTCCGTGAAAAGATGATCGAAAATGATTGCTCATGTTGTGCAACAATCGAAAGTACTCTCAGAAATCTTCGAAATGCGAAACAATTCGCATTTGATATCGGCTCATCACTCGTAAAAATTGCATACTCATCAAGTGTTTCACGTACGAAAACCAATTATGATAAAACGGTTAGTGGTTAATCAGCTCTCTTCAACAAATCATCCAAAATGAAACTGATTTTCTTGACAACAAAAAAAGAGATGCAGCTGATAGCTATGCATCATTTGCAAGCTACATTACATGAATCACTTGCGATGGAAGCTTTCTTGAAAACCAATAGAATAATCTGTTCTATTCTTTCCTCACCACTGAATAGATTGTTTGCACATTTTTGAAACTCCCCTCGACTTTCTTTTTCTTCACTATTCATTGATAAGAGAATTTTGAAGAGGTGCTCTATGATAGTAGCATTTTAATGTTGTTCGCTTCAGATCATAGGCGTCCTCATCGAATTTTTTGCAGATACGTAAGCATGATTCATCAGTGTTACGACTTCATTTTCTACAATTTCATATCGATAAATTCCGTGAATGTTTGCATTTTATTCAAAAGGTTTGCACATTCTTTTTCGTTTCTTCCCTTTGTTTTCGCTGTTGTTTAAATTTGTTGCGTTTTAACTTCTAAATATTATCTGTTCACGTATACGTTTTCTGCTATTTTATATCCTTCATAGTTCTGACTCAAAAGTCTTATTAGTTAGTGAACTGATTAATGAATTTTTGACTACTCGCTCAAAACTTCGACTAAATGAGATCTTGCTATCGTTAGTTACAATGAACTAAATCATTAGTTTATTTATCTTACCGTGAATGGTGCAACAACATGTGGATTGATGATTGGTTTTTTCAATGTGTCTTATTATTAGGAATGTGGTCCATTGCACGTGAAATCAGCGGTTTGTACGGGTAGTGGGACGGCGCAGTATCAAAACTCTATTGCGAAAGCGCTTGGCGTCGAGTTAGTGAATTGTTCAAATCGTAAAATTCCTTTTTTGATTTCGATTTTCGATTGTTTGGTTTGAATATTGATACTATTTTGATTCGGATATGCAGCAGTTATACATTTGCGCTTACAAGACTCATATTAGTTTTTTTTAATGCTTGTGATTTGTTAAGCAGTCATATCTTTCACTGATTGCAGATTCTATAAGGTGAACGAGATGGAATGCTTGGTTAAAGGGAATAATTTTTTGCTAAATAACGTTCTGGATGAGGCATTCACATACGATCATCACAATCAGATTTGTAAATATTCATTCGAAACAATTAATACCAAATCACAATTTCCATATTTATTAGTGAATATCGGTACTGGTGTTTCAATCTATAAGGTTAGTATTGATAACATCGTGCTTCTTTCATGCTGTTGTCGATCCGTTTTTATTTATCCATTTAACATGAAAATTTATTTATTGTTAATTTTACACTTTCTTGCGGTTAAAAATTTACAGTTATGCGCATTATAAAACGTAATTGGTTTACAAAATCATATCAGTAGTCATTTGAAAGTGACATTCCATCTTTGTAATGTTTTTCTCCGGGGAGCGGGAGGGGAATATACGGCGTTGGCTTTCATCCAGATATAGCCCGGACTCTGTCTGAATTTGAGGGTGGGATTGTCTTACTTCTGGAAATAATTCTAAAGTTTTAGTGGTGTAGTTCTAAACGGAACATCAAAAATGGAAGAACGTTTAGGTAACAGTGCACCTAAGTTGTTTTTTGTTTAGGTGGAAAGTGACGAATGTTTTGAACGTGTTGGTGGGAGTTCATTAGGTGGCGGTTGCTTCTTCGGTATGGGTAGTCTTCTAACGCAAATCAACGGTGAGTTCCGACAGGAGTCTGTTTTTATTTTAACGAAATGTTCGTCTTGAATTCTCATAGTTGAACAATTTTTGTTATCTATTTTTAGCACCCTTTTCATGCGAATTGAATATTTTTGGTTTTATCATATGATGAAATCATTCTTTGAGATGATTTATATTCATACAGATTTTGATGCGTTGATGCGAATGGCTGAAGAAGGTGATCACCGTAGTATGGATATTCTCGTATCAGATATCTACGGCGGACGGGCTCACAAACTTGGTTTACCAAATGATCTGATTGCTGGTTCATTTGGAAAAGTGACTATTTTATATGATATATTCCAATTAGAATATTATAGAAATAACAACTATCACTATTATAAATTGATTTTTGCATCGTTGTTTAAATGTGATCCGGAATCCGCATGTAGTTATAGTGTGCAGATGCTGAATACGTCGAAGAGGTGAAAAAGAACAGCAATTATCGTTCGGATGTGCTGCGTAGTCTTCTGTTAATGATTAGTAATAGCATTGGTCAGGTATGTTGAGCATCATTGTCATTTTTAATGTTCATGTTATTGTTGTGCTCTCTTCATGAGAATTGCTGTTCATTAATTTCATTACTTCCAATATAAAATTGTTGAACAAATGATACGATCAACTAGTGTTAGTTTCATTGCAGTGGTTTTTATGAAACTGTAATCATATACGATTTTTTCTTGAGCGATTTGCATTGAATTTAGATTGGTGTTCTCTATGCATCGACATTAAATGCGAATCGTATTTACTTCGGCGGATATTTTGTACGAAACCATCCATTCGTCATGCGTACCATGACGTTTGCTGTCAACTTTTGGAGTCAGGTTGGGAAATTTTAATATGCTTTTGTTCGAGGAAAAGTTTATTCCGTGAAAAAAAGCTCAAAATCCGTATCATTATTTGCAAGTTTTATTGCTTTTTCGTTTGAAGGGTGAAATACAAGCGCAGTTTCTTCGACACGAAGGTTATACGTCTGTGATTGGAGCACTTCTGAAGGGAGTTGAAATGTTTAACATGGCAAATCCGGATCGAATTGGTAAGTTGACATTCAGAAGTTTATGAACTTGAATTTAATCCGATTTTTACAAGACCGTTAGTATCTTGGTATTATTAAATTCAGTTTCCTTTGCATCGGAAGTATAAGAAAAATTTTTTTGGAAGTTAAATGAATAACCGCTGTATGGATGAAATGATTGTAGGGACCAGCTAATTTACTTTTGTGGTGATGGTCCATTATCTGCTATAGAGACTGCTGTTCGTTTACAAACTCATCAATACAATATTTTAGTGGAAATTCATTGATAGTATCATTCTTTGGGCGAGAATTACCGCAAGAAGTCTTTAGCGAAATAGGACGAGAAACAATTATGCGTTTGACTTTTTTTTTAGATCCTTCATATAGTTGTTCATGGAAAGAACATTATGCAGGAAGTACGGCGTTAGGTCGTTTTGTACCAACTGCTCCACTATCTTCAGGGTTCAACGTTCGTCGTTTTTTTCGTATTGTTGTCGTTTCGTTTAATTACATCAATCCCAAAACGAAACATCTTTGATAGCCTGGTCAGCTGTTGGGTGAACTGAATCTATTCATATTGGCAAAGATTTTTATGCGAAACTCTCAAAATGTCATACGCCATCACCGTTCTCGTCTTGTGGTGAAAATGAAAAGGATATTTCGAGACGATGGAGCGAAAGCTTATCAGTTGGAGTTTAAGGGATTAGTTTAAGTAAAATTGTGGAAAAACAAACGTATTCACTAAGATCAAAGAAATGCTCTCACTATTTTTTTTTCAATGGCCAATATCCATTTAAGGTGGGCGTTCTAGAGATGGAATGTTGTGAGATGAATCTGTCAATGTTTCCATTGCTACGTAATGATATAGTTTATCGACCAGATACAGTTTCGTTGAACCACGATCCGGAAGCTCGCGAATATTGGATTTCTTGTATGGAAGGCGGCATCGAAAAGGTGCAAAAAGGATTATTTAAATATTTTCATGGTCATTGAATAATGATTATTGGAAAGAAGTAGTGAAAGGAGGAAGCAAATTTGCATTCGTTTCTATATTTTTAGTAGTCATCACAGTTGTGTTTGCAGACTGTTGTAAAAGCTGTTGAGTCGCAGGTGAATTGTACGGATGCACAAGAACGAGCTGAAAGCGTGAAACGAAAATATTTGGAGCACTTGAAAATTCTGCGCGAGAAACCTTTGTAAGTTTTTAGATTGATTAAGATGACTTTTAATAACGAGTAATCATTTGTAAAAAAGACGGTTGGATTCATTGATTTTCAGTGCTTATGGTTGTTGTAACGTTCGTAACCTTCTTGATCTACGTGAACAAATTCTCAATCAATTCTTCTTCGACGACGCGTTTTTGAACGTAAGTATTAAACGTGCAAAAACATCGTCTGGCTAAGTTTTTTTTGTTGACATAGCAAATTGAAAGTGTTGTTTTTGTTCGATTGTTTGTTCTCAAGTAAACACCATTCTGATATGGTGCATTTAGCGTAAATTCTTCATCATAAATTACTGTTGATGCTGTTGTTGCTTCAGCAAAAGCGTATAGAGAATGAGTTGGCACTGAGTGAACTGCAAGATGTGTTGAATGAAGTGGATCAAATCGACGACTTACGAGAACGTCAAATTCGAGTGGTGAAAGGCTTATTGGCAGGTAACGTGTTCGATTGGGGTGCGAAAGAAGTGGTCAAGCTGATGGAGAATGCCACTGGCGGTGGTCTGACGTTCCAAATGGCCACAAATGCCTTACAAAGTGAGTTATTCGTTTGCCATCTCATTCTTCGTATGTGATAGATGCTCTTTTCCTTTTTCATTTTTCAAATGGCAGCTTTCATTCAGAATCTTTCAGTCCCCAATCAAAAAAATATTATGCTCGTTTCGCCGATGATCAGCAGTAGTCATAGGATTGTGCTTGATTGTGCTCACTCTGTATTTATTAATGCTGTTGTTAAAGAACGACCGTGGCTAGTTGATGATTTGGACGCTTGGTTGAATACGTTCCTAAGAATGCGCTGCTATCGTTGTGCGTTGATATTCGTGGATAACAGTGGTGCGGATATTTTACTTGGTGTTTTGCCGTTCGCTCGTGAACTTATTCGACGTTCATGCAAGGTTTATTTGTTTTTTTGTTTTTTATTTGATGGTGCTTTTGTACGATCGAATGGATAGACAGACATCTTATATCAGTTCAAGTCATTTATCGACTGATTTTAATATCTTTTTTGAGTATCTTATCGTTGAGGTGATAATTGCGTGTAATTGGTCACCAGCTTTAAATGATATAACTGCATACGAAATGCAAGCGCTCATGGTTGGTATATGTGAGAAAGATGTAACATTGCGCGAGGCGATTCTTCAGAAGCGTTTAGTTGTTTGTGATAATGGTCAAGGATCACCATGTCTTGACCTCAGGTCAGTCTTTTGACTTTCAGTCAAATTTGTGTACGGTTTTTGCCTTGAATCAATTCAGATACTCCAAGCACTTGCGTTAATCGGATGTTTCCTGAGCCCGCGGGTGGGCAAATAGGCGGTTAGTAATCGTCGGTGATCGCTGTCATGAAACAAGTCGAACGCCCATCGGAATAATATCGGCTGGAAATTTATTTAGATAAATCGAATGAAAATTGGATGTGTTTGATGATTTATTAATTGAAGGCGAGTGAATTCATCGTTATGTGAAATGGTTCTAAGTGAAGGTGTTGATCTGGTGGTGATTGAAGGAATGGGTCGAGCGATTCATACCAATTTCGATGCTCATTTCACTTGTGATTCGTTGAAGGTTATTTGTTGATTGAGTTCTTGATGGATTCTTTTCGTGTATTCTGAGATATGATTTGATGTGGGCCATATTTAGATATATGTGGTATGATGTGTTCTTGTAAGCAAGAATATTTGTTTATAATTTTACAAAACGTCGTTCATGCATCGAAAAAGATAAAATATTTTCTAATCGAGAAAGAAGAAAATGTCAAGGGTGGAGGGACAATGTTAGATGTAGTGTTAGACTTGTAACTTGATTCAACAAATGAATGATCCGATTAAATTTACAAATGGTACCAATTCGAATGTATTATAGGCAATCGTCATCAGGTTAATCAGCCAATACAAGCATAGCTAAGCAACTGGCTAGTTCTTTCATGAATGCAACATCCGAACAGCGTGAAATCGAAAAATCATTGAATTCAACTATCCACCTATTCAGTTGTCTGTTTCCGTTTGAAGGAACAAGCGATTGAACGTTTAAACGGACCAAAAATTGATACCTAACATACCTCTGTTTACCTTTCTCTGTGTTCGTTTCCAAATTCAACAACAACGCATTAGGTGCTGCTTGAACGGGTCACTATCGAACCATTAGATTGGTGGTTTTGAAATTGATTTATGCGATTAAGCAAGCTTAGAACCGGCTACTAATAGTAGAATATTTGGGTGAATTGCAGCGATATCATTCATTTTAAAACTCGTCAACAGTGAATGTTCATTGCAATACTTTGGTTTGGTGCATTTCGCTGACGTCGATTTACCACTGCCTCAGCTTGAGCTGCAATCATATGAATCAACGAATCATCCTATTTCCGTAAAGTCCATTTATTTGTCGCACTGGTTGAGTGATTGGTTGTTTTGTTGATTTGGTTGGTTCCAGGTGGCTGTTATAAAAACCAAATGGCTAGCCGATCGTCTCGGAGGTGACGTATTTTCTGTGGTGTGCAAATTTGCTCAGGGCGATAACTCCTCGGATACCGTCTGCTCCTCATCACTTTCATCGCCATCATCGTCGTCATCATAGAATTCCGCCTCCTCCCTCCCCCTCTTTTCATCTCAAACTTAATTTCTTTTTTTTTCGATATGGTTCTATACGCGTTGCATTTACCACATTCTATCAAATTCATTTTCAAATTTAACGTTGCCATATTGTCATACAGCGTCAGGTCGTGTCATTTTAAACGTTTGTGTTTGTTTTTTGGTTCATTCGTTCACCAATCGTTGACCAGCTTTACTCATCTTTTCGTACAAAATCCTCAATATGCAATCTTCTCGCTTTCGTCATATATACATACATCTATCCATCTAACCATTTCTATCATCCCATTGCATTCGCTCATTTTCATCAATGTTTAGAAAAGTTTCCCTCTTCTTTCCTCTTTTCATTGTAAAAATTCTGAAATTATTTTTTATCTCATTTCACCGGTTTCACGCTCCCGTGGTTTTGTTTGTCTTCATTGGAGTCGTTCCGTTATTCTCTTCTATGCGGGTTTCTAAAATCTCGTTCGTCTTATCTAAAGTAATAGATAACTTAAATTTTGTTCTGTGATAGTAGAAAACGTTGAGCGTCATTTTTTGTTGTATCGATTGATAGATATTTTACCATTTAGAATGATGTATCATTACTTATTTGCCTGTTTTTTGTTTGTTCATTTGTTCATATGTTTTTGTTTTCTCATTCATCTTTTGCCACACTTACCTTTGTGCATTATTTCGGTAGGCATACAAAAGGAGTTTTTTCTTTGCTGTTCATATTCACATTCTTGTGAATTTATCTATTTTTGTGAATCTATATTTTTTCATGTTTTGAAATATTTTCTTCCTCATCACGAACAGTTGAAATATATTGTTCGAATGATTCTGTTGTTATTATTACTTTCGTCATATAATCTGGATTATTTCTTGATTTTTGTCATCGCTTTTTGAGTTTGATTTATTCGTGTAGGGCGTATTTCAGTATATAAAATTTGACAAAATACCATGACTACTTTGCATGCGCTGATTGGTTGTTCTCTCTGTAATGGCGTAGCCAATGAAATGAAATGAATGGATGGATGAATATGGAATTAATTTGAGACAAATGTCAAGAATTAATTTATGAGGAGAATTTTTGCAGTGTCCTATTAGTGAGTGTGCCCATTATATTTTTGCTGGTTAATCGTTAAAAATTTTCCGATATTGAACGGTAAGGATAGTACACTAGAGAGAATTTCAAAGCTCGTCGGTTATCGATCATTCAATCTATGGGTCATCTTCTGATTTAGGCTCTATGTTGCGAGATCGTTTCCATTCTTCCCACCATAGAGCGGTCATCCGTTCTCGAACGAAACGGTAAGTAAAGTTGCGACTCGATAGGTTTCGAGACGGTAGGATATGTAGTGGATTTAATTGAATGGAAATGGATCCGATCTAAGCGGGGATGGCGAACAAAAGATGGTTGCTCGTTCATTGGGATTTGATATCATGATTTTTCGTATTCAGATGAATTTTGGGTTCGTTTTTTAAGTATAAACATTGCTTGAATGTTCGGGTAATGGCGGTGGTGGTGGTAGAAGTAACAAGAGCTAACAATTGAACAATAAGATCGGCGCGAGGACGATGATGAAGTATGTTATTCGGAAATTATGAGTTGTGGCGAAGACTGAACGGAGTAATTCTGTTAACCCTAGCATAAAGCAGCCAAAGTAGCGCATGAACATCAATGACGTTTTCAGTGTTCAGTGAATTTAAATTTGTCGCATATAGTTGTAAGTTGTTCGACTCATTCGTGACAAAGGACAGCAGCAAAGAAAGTTATTTTCATTCAGTGAATTTGAAGAGAATGCATCCATATGGAATGAAAATGTAGAATGTATTCATGAACTTCTATTGTCCATATCGGCAATGAGAAATCGCAAATAAGAAAACTCAATCAGATAAAATTGGAGAGGGTAGAAAATCAAGGTTGATGATGCTGAGTGAGAATAGGCTTACCTTCATTATTTACACATAGATTTTTTGTGCACATAAGCTTTGTATTATGGAAGAATAGGGTGTATGAGAGGACGGTAGCATTAGCGACACAAATAAACAATTGTTATTTTATTCCATTCAATGTTTTATTCATCTGTCTATCTCATCGCCAATCATTCTAATCAACAATTCTGTTGTGCTATTAGTCATAAGGCACAAACAGAATAGAATGTTGAATTGAGCTGAATGACGAACAAATTTAAGAATAGAATTGGAATAAATTTTTGAGTACTTGCATATTGAATTCAGATGAACAGGTAGGTGGACGTATGAGATCGCAAAAAGGAAAACACAAGTAATAGGATGATGTTAGTAATGAAAAAAGCTTCAATAGAGCCATTGTAAAACAAAAATTAGTGGAAGAAAATTTAGATGAGGATTGTTCTGAGAATATGGGTGATATTTTAGCAAAGGTGATATTTTCAGTATTAGGAAAATTCAAGTAATTGGTTGTATCATATTGCAAAAACAATTCCATAAATTCGGCGAAGAAACGTGAAAAGCTTATTGTGGCCATATCATTGAAGTTTTTTATTCATTATCATTGTTGAATGGAACGTATGAAAACCATTCATTCGCGTTACACACACACACACGCGTACGCATATCTATCACTCGATGTAATATGTGGAAAAAAAATCTAACTCAGTGGCATACTTTCAGCAATGTCGCGTTGAGGAGTCTAAAGCAGTTTTTTTTTTGGAAAAAAATTTGGAACTTTGTTTTTCGGCCCTTTTTGATAAATTCTGTGAAATTAGCACAAACAAACATTTGAGAATGGACGAACGACAACAAGGAGAACTGTTACTTTAATTCAGAAGTTGAGCGAAAGTACGGAAAAGTTAAACTATTGTAGAAATGGCTGAACAGTTAGCCAATGTAGAAATGAAAAAAATTTCATGTAGAAAAATTTTTGATTTGGAACGCATGGGGTGCTTTAACTGATGGAATCATCTGCACTGTGACAATTGTTTTGTCCGATCTGCTGAAATCATTATCATTCAGCACTAATTTTACCATTAGGTAAATATCAACTGAAATATGTAAACGAATCTCTGTTTGTCTTGATTAGCAATAGAGAAAATTTGAATGGTAAGAGTCGTTACCTATCTTCATCCGCTTTCTTTATATGCTTATCTATTAGGCTTCGGATGTCCGTCCATTCATTGGAAACAACTCACTTGAAGAGAGTTTAAATTATGGATTCTTAATTTTCTGAGGCTCGTGTCATCAGTATTATTATTCTTCCTCAGTTGTTTAATCTTCATTCCATGCCCATCCAAAACTATCCCATCTATATGACAACTAATAATAATTTACATCCAGTAAAGCAGATCATCAAATTCGTTAGGATCATCAAGATAATCAGGTCATCAAGCTTTACGTTATTTTTCCGATAAGTGTTACTCCTGTAGCTGCTGTGTTAACAATACTTAATGAACCATAATTATTAAAACCAGAGATGGGCATTAGCGCGCTAATTCGCTAATCCGCTACTAGCGAATTAGCATTAGCGATCAGCCCGCTAGTTATCGGAATTTAGAGGATTTATTGTCGTTGGTTAGCGGTTTAGCGAACTAATTTTTCGCGGACTTTAGCGGATTAGCGGACTGTTATCGCTAATCCACTAACGTTGCGAGTGAATGCATAATCTTCCACCATTAAGGTATATACATACAAATTTGCACTGCACTAAATTCAAGAGTACCATACTGATACCCTCTCAAACGGTTCGCTGTTGAGTATTCAATCAAATTATTGTTGTTGTTGATAATTGTTTACCAAATTTTATCATCGGTCATTGATAGGAGAAATTTGAAGGGCATTATTATTTAAAATGCAGGAGATGATGGATGTGTGCAATGCGATCAGGTAGTTAGTCATTATCTTAGAGAACTAATGAGATATCGCGAAGTAGTAGGAAGAAAGAAACATCGAGGAAATGTTAACTGGATGGATGTGTGGTTGATGATAGCACTGTACATTGTTGCGACATCGAATTGAGCGAGAATTTTGATATAATTAACAAACTGATCATTATTAGTTGCTGATGATTTTGTGGGGCTTATTGACTTATTGACCGATGATTATTAGTGGCTGATGATTTTGTGGGGCTTATTGACTTATTGACCGATGATTATTAATGAC